CACGACACAAGTTAATTAATATAATTGAAATACTAAAGAGAAGATAAATTCAATCGAAGTCATGGGTTTCAATGACAACTTGACGGAATACCTGAAAATATCAGGATCCGTACTCAAAAAAGACATTTCGGCTTCTCGTTCGGCATATCGAATTTCTATATTTCAGGAAGACTTTTTAGCTTTTCGAATGGTGAATTGGAATCCTAAAAGGGCGAATCTGCTCTCCATTCCTGAAGAATACCCTTCGATCCACCGGTGGGTTAATTTCCCCACTCCCGAGGAAAGCTTTTCGATTCCCACGCAGGTGGGTGACCCGACCGAGCTCGCGCGGCCAGCCCGACACTAGCCTCGCTCCACCGCCGCTCAACAGCCACCATAAACACGGAAAAAAAAAGCTTTATCTTTTCGGTGTCGGGCGATTCGGCCACGATTTGGCTCTTGGTGATCTCGTCTCAGCCACTCCGCGGCTCCATAAATTGCTTCAGATTCGGATGATGATTTTTTTCAACCCACAAAATCGATTAATGTAAGATAGAAAAGGATTGAAAGAGAATAGAGGAAGAAAAAAAAAAGTGAAATCTTCTTACCTTTCTTGCTTCGGTCTCTGTCGTCGCACAACATCTCGGCTGATTCTTCTTCCTCTTTCTTCTTTTCAGCCTCGCTCTTATTTTCCTCTCTTTCTTCCTTCCTCTCGACTTCCCTCGCGCGACAACCTTCTTCCTTCTCTCTCTCCGACCAGCTCCTCTCTTCTTCTCTCTCTCTTTTTCGACTACTCTCACAAATGAAGAGAAACCCTAATTTTTTTTTATACCCATTCCCCAACCGTTAGATCTCGTTAGCTCGAACTGGACTATCCGTTCTCCATTAAATCTCAGTCATTTGATCTTCTCAGATGGTTCGATCAGGACCGTCCATTACTTATTTATTTTTGCCCCTTCCACTTCTATTTATTTATATTTTTACCTCCTTTTTTTCTTACTTGTCTTTATTTAATTTCTTGAAATTAATTAAAACCTTCAAAATTAATAAAATCTTTTCATTTAAATCCCAATTCTAATTTATTAAATTTAATATATTCTTTTATTTAATTTAGGGGTTGGATGTGTATGGGCATCTCCTGATATGACATATCTTCCTCAATAGAAATCTTCTTATACTGAATTACATGCAAATGATCTGGATGGTATTTGTGTAATATGGACACATAAAATACATCATTGATATTAACTAACTCTGGTGGCAAAGCCAATCGGTAAGCAATAGTTCTAATTCTCTCTAGTATTTCGAACGGTCTAATGAAGCAATGGCTCAATTTGTCTTTCCTTCTAAATCTCATAAGGCCCTTCATTGGTGACACCTTCAAAAATACATAATCCTCTGTCTCAAATTCCAAACCCCTTCTACAGTAGCCTACATAACTCTTCTGTCTACTTCGGGCGGTTTGAAGATTTTTCTTAATTAGGACGATCTTTGATGTAGTTTTTTCAACTAATTCGGGTCCAATTAATTTTATGTCTCCAATCTTTTCTCAATATACAGGAGATCTATAGAGCCTGTCATAAAGTGCTTCATATAAAATTACACTAATTCTGAACTAATAGCTATTGTTATAGGTAAATTCAATCAATGGTAGATGGTTTTCCCAATTTCCTTCCATCTCTAGTGCACAAGCCCTATGCATATCTTCTAATGTCTGAATGATTCTTTCTGTTTGACCATCCGTTTGTGGGTAAAATGATGTGCTGAAAGATAAGGTGGTGTCTAAGGCCTACTGAAGACTTATCCAAAATTTAGAGGTAAAACGAGCATCTCGATCTGAAACTACTGATACTGGAATTCTATGAAGTCTAATAACTTTCTTAATATATAACCTAGTGAGTTTATCAAAGGAGTCTGTAGCTTTTATTGGTAGAAAATGGGCTAACTTCGTTAATCGGTCCACTATCACCCAAATAGTATCATGGTTGAATCTAGTTCTAGGCAAGCCAATTACAAAGTCCATAATGATGTGTTCCCACTTTCATTATGGGATTAGTAGAGGTTGGAGCAATCCATCTGCCTTTTGATGTTTGGCTTTAATCCTCTAACAGGTAAGACATTTATTAACAAATTCAGATATGTCTTTCTTTATCTCATTCCACTAATATCGAGGTCACAAATCTTGATATATTTTTGGTGATGTCTGAGTGTATAGTAATATAGAATTATGTTATTCCTCAAATATGAGTCTTTTCAAGCTATCTATATACATTCCCCGTTCATGAACACCCCATTGTAATTCTTGTAAGGTCTCTAGAGTCTTGTGTTTAGAAGCTACTAGTTTTAGAATCATGTCGAGGTGTTGTGACTCAGTGTATCAGCCACTATATTTCCTTTTCTTGAGTGGTAGGATATCTTGCAATCGTAATCCTTAAGAAGATCCATCCATCTACACTGGCACATATTCAGTTTCCTTTACTTGAAGAGATATTTAAGACTCTTGTGATCAATATAAATCTGAAAAGTCTCTCCATACAAATAATAATGGCATATCTTAAGGGTATGTACAATTGCAGCTAATTCTAAGTCATAAGTCGGGTAATTGCGTTCATAGTTCTTCAATTGTCTTGACTCGTAGGCGATGACTCTATGAT